TGGATTTATGAGGGATTGTTGCTTTGCCATTCAGGTGCGTGCTAATGGAATCCCAATAATAAGATTAGATGACTATAACTTAGCTACGGACGACGGTGAGGAATAAAGGATGAACGTTTATTTTTAAAGCTTATAAATGAGTTCTTCATCAAGCTCTCGTGAACCTTCACCATCTATGAAACAAACTTTACCAAACGATTATGGAGCACCTATTGAATATTTCTTACGAGCTGCACAATGGCAAAGAGCAGTCTCACCAAGGTTAGGTGTTCCACCAGCTCCTGTCAAAAATAGCATTTGGTCAAGTCCTTATATAAGATATGGTCTCCCACTAGGTTTGCTAGCTACAGCAGGAGCAGTTATGATGTTGAAAAGAAATAAAGCAAATGTTGTAAATAATACTGAAGTAGCTGAAGTTAAACAAACTCCAACACCTTCGCCAAAACCAACGCCTTCACAAGCAACCTTCAATATTTTTCTATCTAATGGTATACGTTCCATCTTACCTATAGGTATCTTTTCTTTTAACTCTTTCAATATATTGTTTGTGTCTGGAATATGTTTGAGACGGTCCATATAGTTGTCGAAGTCATTGCATATAATCTTTGAGTCAGTAAATACGGTATGACATAAATGGGATATATAGAAACTTCCACCGAACAAATCTACAAATGTTAGACCATTCGGTAGTTTCTTAAGTTCTTTCAATATAATATCTTTACATCTACTCTTATTTCCAAAGAACGGTAACGGTGGTTTTGTAAAATTCATTTATATATAATAATAAAAATTTTTACCCGAAAAGTGACAGAAAAGTGACAAAATATGAAAACATATATAATTTGTGAAAAGTGACACAAAAAGTGGCATTTAAAAAGTGACACCATTAATATGATGTAAATAACAACGGTTTTGGTTTTGTCACCGGCTGGTCGGCTGGGGTTCGGTCCTCCTCTTGGGTCTTGGGCAAAATTTCTTATGGGCTAGAGGGCGCAACGCGCCTGGAAGCCCTCCGAATAAAAACTTCATTTATACTAAACATCTTCGGGGCTAGAGGGCGCAACGCGCCTGGAAGCCCCACTACCTTTTTTTAATACATTGGGGAGAAGCTTCCTAAACTTTTTAATCCCATAAATATGGTCATTATCTGGAATAAAGAGTTAAGCGTCATATGTCACTTTTTGTACTAAGGAAACATCGACTTTATGCGTTATGACTTTTCGATGAGGAAACAAGTGTTCACGTATTATAAACTTCCTTATTCCAATAAACCGACCCTAAACATAATTAATTTTAAGCATTATAATGGTCTCTTTTCTATGATAACCAAATCAATTTGGTTATCATAGAAAAGCACCAAAAACTAGAATAGGAATCGGCAATATGGAATTATGAAACAACTAGGATAAAATGGATATGGGACATTCATGAATGCATTCACTTTTTTCAAGACTTTTTAATGAATTTCAAATTCCTCAGATTATTTTCAATAGATTTTCCGTACCATATCATTTTTATTAGACAAAGCTATCTTTTCGATGAAATTTTTGCAAAATACTCTGTTTTGAAAAAGATTTATGTAAATTTTTTGATAAAAGTGTCTTGAATGATTATCATTGATAATACCATTCCAATTGAATGCTGTTTTCGGCTGCTTTTATAAAAATTTGATCATATTGTACTCATAATTTTTTGTATTTTGGTCAAAAACTAAGCTAACATCAGCTGTATATTGCATAAGCCATTAATAAGCTTTGGTATAGGTTATACTGAGTTTAGACGATCATACAATTTAGACTTTTTTCATTTAATTTAGTCTAACAAAGAGTGATTATCTTACTATTTGATTCATAAATATATAGGAAATAATAGTTTTATACCTTAATATAATAAAATTTTATAAAATTTTCCCTTCTCCTTTGGCAATATTAGTCATTAATAGATATATTTAACATGATGGTTCTAAATATATGAATAGATAAAATTTTCCTTTCAATTTTACGAACCAAATTTATTACCATATCCTAAATTTTTCTATGTTATAGACCTTTGGAACTTTGTATGAAGTCTAAATATACATGTAGAGTATTCAAACAAAACAAATATCAAAATCTAAACCTTTGAATTACCTTCAATGCTTAACGCGAATTACTAGATCTTATATATATGTGTGTACTAATACCTTTTGATGCATAAAAAACTCCAAAAGAGTTTCATTTTTAAAATAGTCGATATCAATTCAAAAAATTGAAACTATACCGTCAACTGTCAATTTTTCGATAGTTCGTTTTTTTAAATGTAATTGCTTTTTTTATATGCATTAATCATTTGATAGTAGTGGGATCAAATTACATATCTTAAAAATGTATTCCGAGTGAAAAAAATCAATAGAATTGACCACAGATATCTGTTTAATCCAAAAATATTATTAGAATCATATTTAATAAAAATGCTATGCTTTTAGAAATAAACGAAAGAATAAACGCACTGTTTCAAACCGTCAAAATTGAATTTGTGTCAAATATCTTGAATTTACAATTTTAGCTATTTAGATAATAGAGAAGCATTTGATCAATTTTTGTGTTAAACAACTATTTTTCGAATTTCTGAGATATGAAAATTAATTCACTAACTTCTTAAAAACATGAATTGAATGAAAACTCTTAGAAGAAATGTTCATATCACTTTCATTAATGGAGTACAAGGATGATTCCGAGTTCTTGGATGATATCCAGAAGTCCAAAACCCGATCCAAGGAAATCGTGAGAATGCAAATGCACTTAGCTTATCTTGATGAATCAGAGCCCGCAAGTGAGAATGAAAATCAAGCACCAGCTAATGCCGAAGAATTTAAAGTTGTCAGAAAGTTTAGCTTACAAAAATTCCTTGAGGCACACCCAATCTTAAATGTCAAAGACCTTTGTAACTTTTCTTTGGATCAACTCTTGTATTTAGTTGATGTTATTCGCGAGCATGAGTTTTCATCCAGACGCGTCGGAAAAACGGTTGTGATCCATTAGATGCGTTATTCCTAACATTAACTTACTATTGCACTTATCTTCCATTGCAAAAAATGTCAGGAATTGTTAGTTTGAAACAGAGTTACCTCAGCAAAATCATAACAAAACAACAAACAGGATGTTCCCAATTTTCATTGCTGAATTCATTCCAAAACAATATTCTCCCTGTGACAAGGAGTTCGATAACTTTCCAACATGTGTTGCTGCAGTTGATAGCTCTACTATTCCTTTTACCGTTCCTCTTGATCTTGCTGAGCGTAAAAGTTCATGGGAGGCTAAAAACCATTGCAATGGTATGAAGGTTCAAGTTCTTGTTAATCCTTTAGGACAGGTAATTCACATGAATACAAGTTTTTTAGCTTCAGTTCACGATAAGAAAGTATTTGATTTATCAGGAGCTTCAGATTTTTACACGTCCAACGTGGAGTTGAATCTGTTGCATTAGGACTTCTTGCAGATAGAGGTTACATCGGTATTCAGAAATACCATCCAACAGCCGTCATTATGCAAAGAGGTGATGACGAAGAAGTTACAAAACGCAATAATGCGATTGCACATGATCGCCAAATTGTCGAACGCCGCTTTGCACGCGATAAAATAATTGGAGTGTCTTGGCAATAGGATATCGTGGTGAAAAAGGCAATCTTCCACTTATTGTTCAAGGTTTGTTTGCTTTAGATAACTATCACATCGATTCCACACCTCTCAGTGAGAAGGATAACTGCGATTTTCCTTGCACTCCAAAAGATGAAAAAGAAGCTGCAGCAACACCAGAACCAAATGGTTCAGGAAGCCCAATGGC